GGGGATGGGGGAATAAAACCTAGGTTGGCCACATGCAAGGCAAATGCTCTAACCACTCTACTATCACTCCAGGCCTATGTCCAATCAATTTGATTCTGAAAAATTATAATTTGAAAAACTAAATCTCACGTGTTGGCATTTTAAAAGATTTTTTACAATTCTATTTTTTAAATGGTGATTGACTTTCTTGTTTTGGGGTCATATTCAGTGGTGTGTGGTTTTAGTTTTTGGGTCACAACCGGTAAGTCCCAGTGATGCTCAGGAGTTACTCCTGGCCCTGTACTCAGGGATCACTCCTGGTGGTGTTCAGGGGAGTGCTGGGGTGCCAAATGGGGGACCAGGTATCAAACCTGAGTCAGTTGTGTCACAAGGCAAGTGGTCTACCCACTGTACTATCACTCTGGCCCCAACTTTTGAGTATTCAGTGGTAGTGTAAATGATTTTTGATATGTTCAATAATTAAGATAAAGGTGTCAAAAATACTTAAAACACTCTGGCTTTCTTTGCAAACAAATATCTTAAAATTCATAAATAGTCTAACTTCTCTGATATAGCATTAAATAGACTAAGCAATTAGCATAGAAAGAAGTGGGTCAGAAAAGATCCATTTTACCCAAAAAAGTATTAATACAGGCTTAGTCAGCAGACTGTGGAAACAATTCACAACTATTTCCAGCTTCAGGGAATGAAGTTGCTGCTACCTGACCACTTCAGGGTCAGGCCATCAGCATCAGGAAAACATCCTGAGAAAAGAGGCGAGGGCCGCAGAGATGGTCCAGCTGGTCAGGCCACAGAGGCAGTAGGGAAGGGAAGGCCGCAGAGACAGTAGAGCAACTAGGGAGTTTGCCTTGCATGCAGCTGACCCAGGATTGATACCCGGCACCCCACATGATCCTTTAAACCACCAGGAGAGGGGCTGGAGCGATAGCACAGCGGGTAGGGCATTTGCCTTGCACGGCCGACCCGGGTTCGAGTCCCAGCATCCCATATGGTCCCCTGAGCACCGCCAGGGGTAATTCCTGAGTGCAGAGCCAGGAGTAACTTCTGTGCATTGCCAGGTGTGACCCAAAAAGCAAAAATAAATAAATAAATAAACCGCCTGGAGAGATCCTTGAGTAGAGTCAGGAGTAAGCACAGTCACATGTGGCTCCCCCTCAAAAACAAAAACAGAAACCCGGCTATCCAATTCCAAAGAAGAATGCTCTTTCTCTTCGCCTTTCTCATTTTCCTCAGTTAACCAATCAGCTTAAAATTACCACCGAATTACTGGAACTATGTTTTCTGTTTTGTTTTGTTTTGTTTTTTTCTGAAAAACTGGTCTTCTAAGAGTCCGGAGATAGTTCAATGGGCTGAGCACATCTTGCAAGTGGAAGGCCGGGTTCTGATCCCCAGCATCACCTGGTCCCTGAAATACAGCTGGGAGCAACCTCTGAGCAGGGGCCCAGGAGCAGCCCACAGCACTGGGAGTAGCTCCTGAGCACCACCTGTGCCTCCTTCCAAATAAAACAACCAAAAGGCTGGTTTTGGATAGATCCACGTGTTAGACCAATACACAGTCTTTGTCGATTTATGTCAGTTTAGAACAACTAGAGTGACAATTACTGTCAGACATTTACATTCAATCTCTAAAAGGAATGCTTCAAACATTTCCCCCAAAACAGCTCAATGTTAAAATGACACAGTTGAGCCAGGGAGAAAGCTCAACCAGCTGGAGTTCATGCTCTGCGTGCAGGAGGTCCAGGTTTGGTCCCCAACACCACATGGTCCTCTGAGTACCACAGAAGCAGCCCCCTGAGTGCTAGCAGTTAGGGCACCAGAACCAAATAAATAATAATACGGCAGGAACCGAAATGATAGTACAATGGGGAGGGTGTTTGACTTGCATTCAACTGACGTGGGTTCGATCCCTGGCATCCCATATGGTCCCCCAAGCACCATCAGGAGTAATTCCTGAGGGTAGAACCAGGAATAACCCCTGAGCATCATCAGGTGTGATCCAAAAAAGCTAAAAATAAATTAATGAATAAAATACAGCATATTTCAAACAAATGCAACACTTTAAAATATTTTTTAGACATGGAAAAGTCTCATATGATAGCTGGACTTTTGGCATAACTCTTTTGGAGGGGTGTACAGGTTTATATTATCTCTCTAGCTCAAGCACGACCTAAAATTTTCGCATGTCCTTTCTTTCACAATAAAAAAGACTAATTTAGGGGCTGGAGCAATAGTACAGCGGGAGTGGGGGGGGAGGGGGAAGCATTTGCCTTGCATGCAGCCAACCCAGATTCAATCTCCAGAATCCCATAGCACTGCCGGGAATAATTCCTAAGTACAGGGCCAGGAGTAACCCCTGAGCATCACCAGTTGTGAACCAAAGAGCAAAATAAAAAATGAAAAAGACAAATTTGGACACATTAAGTAAAAATTTTCATTTTAGAAAATGCGGGACAGTTTGTAATTTTTCTAACAAATTATGAACTCTTTCCTGTATATCTAAATAAGTAATTCTGTTAACATTTCCATTTTTTTATTCTGGTTTATGTGTCACACTTAGCAGTGCTCAGGGCTTACTCATGGCTCTGAGCTCAGGGATCACTCCTAGAAGTGCTCGGAGGGACCACATGAGGTGTGAGGATCCAATGGGGGTTGGCTGTGTGCAAAGGAGGTACCTTACACAGCATACTGTATCTCCAACAATCTTTTACCTTTTTGTTGTTGTTCTGGGACCACAGCCAGAGGTGCTCTGGATTCACTCCTGTCAAGGTTTGGGAGACCCTATCTGTTGATGATCAAATCTGGGTCAGCTGCATGCAAGGCAAGGACCCTACATCATCCCAGGCACCAATAACATCTTAACTTTAACATCCTAGGGGCAGGTGGCAAGAATTCAGCAGGTGGGGTGCTTTCCTACCCAAGTTCCATCCCCAGCAGGAAGAGTGATATGTGAGTTCAGAGCCAGGAGTAAACCCTGAGTACTACTGGGGTACGGCCCAAACCAGTCCACCACCAAAAACTAAATATATATTTAGCAGATATATAGTATTTCTATTTACATGTTTTACAAAGTGATTATATATAACTGCTTCCTACATTCAAATTTAAAAACAAATGTAAAACTATTGTCTTTAAAAATATTAAAATTATTATAGGACTATTTTATGACACAGATAAATATAATCAGGACTTTTTTTTTGGGGGGGTGGGGGTAATTAGGCCACACCCCAGTGGCTCTCAGGGCTTACTCCTAACTTTGAGCTCCTACATCTGGTGAGACTACAGAACAATAAGGGTGTCAGGGTTCGAACCGTGTCCACTGTGTGATGGCTCTAAGCCCAAATATAATGTTTTTTAAAAAGCTGGTTATTGGGACTGGAGCAATAGTAAAGCAGGTAAGGCGTTTGCCTTGCACTGAGCTGACCCAGGTTCACTGACCAGCATCCCATATGATCCCCTGAGCATTGCCAGGAGTAATTCCTGAGTGCAGAGCCAGGAGTAACCCCTGAGCATCACTGGGTATGACCCAAAAAGTCAAAAAAAAAAAAAAAGGCTGATAATCTACTCACTTTCACTACCATGCTCCCACTGCTCTGGCATGAATCATATGTTAAATAACACCCCCCCCACCCCCAACTTTGTCAAGGAAGTCCAGCAAAATTCAGATTAGGATACAGTTACAGGGCTGGATAGTACATCTGGCCGGGCCCTTGTTTTGCACGAAGCAGGCCCAGGAGTGATTCCCGGCACCCCATAGTTGCCCCAGCGCCATGAGAGCTGATCCCTGAGTACGGACCCAGGAGGAAGTCTTCAACACCTCCACCAGGTATGGCCCAGAACCAAAAAAAAAAAAAAAAAAAAGTACAGTTATTGAGACTCAAACTCACAAAGGGTTTCCCTCCGGGTGGGCACCATCCTAGGGAAGCGGAGGGGTCTTTCTAGAACGGACTGGATGATTAGAATAGAAACTTCAAGAGAGCAATGCAGAGCACTAACAACTGTACCTCGAAAACAAACAATAGCATCCTGCTCAGCCCACTTTCTTCTTATTTTAGCCCTACCGCTTGAGTCATGTAACTTGCACAGCGCTGTCAAGAAGTCCCCACTGTTCCGTCCCCGAGCCAGCGCGGGCTTCCCCAGGGGTTGGCTGGGAAAGGAGAAATCTACAAAGCTGCGGGGTGTGCGCGCCCCTGTGGGCCCCCGCGCGCGCTGGCCCCATCACTGACCCTACGAGCAGCTCTGCGATCAAGAAAACACTAACGGGAGGCCGGGGTGAAGACCGCTTTGGGGACCACCAAACACTGCCCAGCGACAGGCCTCTCCCGAAGAGCATCATTCATTCCGACAAGTCGCTTAACTTTGAAGCTGAGAGTCCATGGGGGGGGGGGGGGGGGGGAGGGAACAGAGTGTGATGATGAAGAAACGAATCCAATGCAAACTCAAAAAAAAAAAAAAACCACGCTAAAAAAGAAAAGGGCTTCCTACTTGAATGTCAATGCCCCCGGGGAAAAAATGACTGCGAGAAGAGGCGGGGTGGGGAAGGAGAGAGGGAGAGAGAGGGAGAAACAGAGGCAGAGGGAGAAACCTGACCTTGCCCACAAGTCCAAGAGTTTCCGCGCCCTTCCCACTAGGCTCCCCGGGCAGCGGCTCACGCCATCCCCGTGGGTCAGCCCAGCACCTGGCCCGCGGGGGACGGGGAATCTCGGGCACGCAGGACGGGAGGAGGGTCTGGCCGGGGCCGAGGCCCAGGAGGAAAGGGCTCCGGGAGCGGAGCCGCGGCTCCCCGGAGGGCCGGGCGGGCCGAGGCGAACGGGGCCACGGCCGGGAGGGGGTGGGCAGAGGGAGGTGCAGGCAGGGCCCGGGGAGCCGGGCGGATGCGGGCCAGCCCGGGGGGCCCGCGCCGAGGGCGAGCGAGGCCTGGAGGGAGGGCGGCGGGGATGCCCGGGCGCCGGCAGGCCCGCGGCGGCAGCGGTGGCCGGCGCCCAGCCGGCGAGCGGACTCACGTTCTCCCACCAGCAGGATCCGCACGTCTTTCTTCATGTCGCCGGCTCGGAGGGGCCGGGCTCGGCCCGCGCGCATGGAGCGGACTCCTCTCGCCGGGAGCGCCCAGCCTGCCTCGCCGCCCCGCCCGGGCCGCCTCCCCGGCTGCCTCCCCAGCTCCGGAGCCCGGACAGCGCCAGCTCCGCCTCCTCCGGCTCGGCGGGCGCGGCGGCGGCGGCGGCGGCGGCGGCGGCGGCGGCGGGGCGGACGGGGCGCCGCGAGGGACACGCGCCGGCCGAACGCGAACGCGCTCCGGGCCCGCGCAGCGCCCCCACCGAGCCGGGTGCTGCAGCGCAGGCCCGGGGAGCCTCGCCCACCGGGCCGCTCTGCGCCGGGAAGCAGGGCTCACGAAGTAAGCTCCTCGGGATCGCGGAGTTCGTGGGGCCACGCAGCCGCTTGGCTGGTTCCAGGTGTTGAACAGCAAAAGGACAGGAATTTCTTGCCCAAGGTCACAGAGCCAGAGCTGGGCGGTGACTCAGGGCGACTCACCAAGCGATAAGCCCCAGGAGGGCAGTGACCTCTAGCTGTTTCAGCACAATCCCCACCTTGTCAGATTTAGCCTTCAGAAATACTCGCTTGAAGCATGATTACACCCGGATTTAGCCCTGTCGGCTAACCAAAGCTCACTATGCTAACTGCATTTTGCCTGTGATATTGACACGATTCTAAGGAATGAGGTTCTCTCCCCCCCCCTTTTTTTTCAAAGTCGTGTGTGTAAACACATCTTTGAAGCGCCCTAAGTAACTTCTCTCTCTTTGTGGCATCAGGGAAGGTCTAATAAGACCTTCTCTTTTCTCTTTTCTCAGGTTGCCAGAGGGCTACCGTGCACAAAGGTAGCTGGTTTTTGTTTGTTTGGGGGCGGTGTTCAGATCTGAGTCCTTGCTCTATGCTCAGGGACCAGATGAGGTGCCCCGGATCGAATCCAGCTAAGCTGTGTGCAAGACAAGTACCCTCGCGGGCTCTAGTGTCACTCCCTGATTTTTCTAACTAGCCTTAATTGCTTCCGTTACCTTTCCAGCTTGTAAAATCATTGCTTAGATTCCAAGGGCTGTAACAGTGTTTGGTACCCAGTGAGGGGGCAATTTCTGCATAATTACCTTTTTTTTTCTATCTTAAATATTACATAATAAATGTCAACGGGAAAGAAATGTGCATAATGCCAATCCCTCTTTCTCCTAGAAGTTGTGAGATCTCGCACAGTAGTTAGAAACTGCTGACAACTTGCCTGAGTGGTTTGATCCCCAGTACCATGTAATGCCCCCCCCCCCCCCTGAAGCCCTGCTAGGAGCATCCCTGAGCACAGCTAGTGTGGTCCAAAAAAACTATCACTATAACTATCACCCCGCTGTTCATCGATTTGCTTGATGAACAAATTTGGGTGCCAGTAACATCTCCATTCGTCCCTGTCACGTGCTAGTGTAGCCCGATGGCATATTGGGGGCACTTTCAGGGTCAGAGGAATGAGGAGCATCATGTTAGTTTTTGGCATATCGAGTACACCACGGGTAGCTTGCCAGGCTCTGACATATGGGCGGGATACTCTTGGTAGCTAGCCGGAGGGATGGAGGCTTTTGGGGCAGCCTCTAATCACCTTTACAGGTGTTCCCAGTCAGACATATATGCGGGCAGGATACTCTTTGTAGCCTGCGGGGTTCTCTGAGAGTGAGAACTAAAGAATAAGAGGTTGCAGCCACGCGCTTCCAGGAGCTTGGTTTTATAGTCTCTGGATCCTGGCCATTGATGGGGTTACACGGCAATTGGTGGGTGTAACTGTCTAGCTACTGGAAGATTGAGGATCTGGGTGGAGGAGGCCCAGTCCCGAACCAAGCAATCTTGGAGATCTCAGCCCCCGGTCCCGCACACCTGGGTTCCTCTGCTGGTTCCCTCATGTGTGAGACTCGCCCGAGCGTGTAGACAGTTGTCTCGGCATGGCTGTGGCTGGGTCCCGGAGGTCTTCAGCTGCTGGGGCTCTGCTCAGGGCGGAGAGGGAAACTCAACCCGCACTCCTCCATGGGGCCCCGGTGAGGACAGCCTGGCATGGGGGCAGGAGACTCTGTAAACCATGGGGACAGTTCTAATACCTGCCTGAAGTCAGTCCAAAAACAAACAAACAAAATTGCCTGAGTGTGAATCCAGAGTTCATCACTTAAGAGTTATGGGAACCTCACTTAGATTTTTTGTTTCTCCAAGCCTTTTCCTGTGACATGACATTAATGATTGTTCCGTTGGTTGTGAAGAATTAGATGATACTTGCCAAACACATGCCCACTCAGTCCCTGCTCTACTGATCTCAGCTATCAGCATCCTCAAGTTCTAGGAAAAGTTGAAATCCAAGGCTTGGAGGCAAATATGTTGTTTATAACAGTTGCTTCTCCATTTTAGTTAAATCAGTATAGGGTAGGAAACCCAATACACACTCTGTGATGTGAGAAAACTGACTTTCCTCTATTCCTTGGAAGATAATTCAGACACATCCCAGTGAAGTTAAGGTAAATGGAAATGTAAAATTCAAGAGACTTCATTACCTGGAGAAAAATATTCCTCCAAACTGTAATATTATGAAATGTTTCTGTTAGAAGGATTTTTTTTTCTGAGAACACATTTCAATTCCCTTACTCTGTAGGTAAGAAAAGCAAGACCAAGAAATATCATGATTTGTCAAAAAGGCAGCACAGCCAAGATTTGAGCCCTGGTGCACAAGTCACATGATCTCTCTGTGCCTCAATTTCCTTTACTAAATGTAAACTATCATTTATTTCTTGCTTTCTACCTCATAGACTTGTGTAGAGGATCCTATGAAATAATGCAATGCTTTAAATATTTTTTAATCTTTTCTCTTTCATACTTCCCCCCTTATTTTTCCACCTTTATATAGAGCCAAACTTTTTTTAAAAAGATTTTATTTTTATTATTTGTTTATTTATTTTGCTTTTTGGGTCACTGCGACAATGATCAGGGGTTCCTCCTGGCTCTGCATTCAGGAATTACTCCTGGAAGTGCTCAGAGTGCCATATGGGATGCTGGGGATCGAACCCAGGTTGGTCGTGTGCAAAGTAACCGTCCTATCTGCTGTACTATCACTCCAGCCCCAACCCAAATTCCTTAGGGCATTATTAAGCAACTCTTTGTTTTCTGTCCATTTCCCCAGGTGCTCAGAGCTTATTCCTGACTCTTTTCTCAAGAATTACTCCTGGATGGGCTGGGCGGGGGTGGTGGTGGTGGGAACCATATGGGTTGCTGGGGATCAGACCCAGGTCTGCTGCATGCAAGGCAAATGCCCTACCCATTTTATTATGCTCCAGCTCCACTTTAAGGAATTCTTGGTAGAGAATCTTGTCCCCAGGAGTTCTGCACAGCATTGCCAATTGATAACAATGGTAATTCTGTGTAGCTTTGCCAGAATCATAAAACACAGAAGGAGAAGGAAGAAGAGTTTATTTGGGAAGAACACGACTGAGATAATCATGCAAGCTCTTTGAATAAAGGAGAAAATAAAACAAAATCCAAAACCCAGATTCAGGGCTACAGAAAGGAGACAACAGCAAGTATATTGAGTTGGCAGCATAATGACTTGGTACTAATAGCCAACACTAACTAAAGTGAAGGGGGTCTGAATGCCTGATTGTGCCTTCCAGACCACATCAGTTTCTTTTTATAGACCCTCTTCATTTCCTAATCAGTTCTTCTTCTAAAGCTCCAGCCTCCTGCCTCAGCTTCAGCTTTTTTTTTTAAATTGAATCATATACCATTACAAAACTTTCATCTTTGAGTTTCAATCATACAATGATCAAACACCCATCCCTCCACCAGTGCACGTTTTCCACCACCAATGTGCCCAATATCCGCACCCCCATCCCACTACCGCCCTCCCCCGCCTCTATGGCAGTCAATTTTCCCCATACTCTCTCTCTACTTTTGGGCATTATGGTTCCATCTTCAGCTTTTTGCCCTTCTGCAAAAAGCTGAAGCTGGTCACTCTCAAATTCTCCTGGAGACAGACTTGCTTAGTGGTTAAAAGCAGGAACTCTGGAGTCACCCACATCTAAACCTCAGCTTTGTGTCTTGCTACTGTGTGTCATTGGAAAAATTGTGCCACCTCTCTCTGTGTCATCTGCCAAAAGGGAATGATACCCCTCTGGGGTTGCTGTGACGATGAAATGAGTTAAGAGACAAGAAAACTCTTAGAAGAGTGTCTGGTTATATGGTCAGTGATATCGAAATGTTGGATCAATAGCATAGGTTGTGAAGGAAGGGACTTATGATTGCTTTTCTGAGTCACAAAATGACACATATATTGCAGTCAGACATCAGCCAGAAGATGCAGCTGCTGGCAGTGAGACTCACTGTGAGGAATGTACAGCTAGATTACTGTATATAAAATAGGTTGGAGAAAGCCAAGAGGACAGATTGGTATCGAGGCAGTCCTGGTGGAATTTTCCTCTGGAATATGAGGGAGCAGCTCTCCCCTCACAGACTTCAAGCCTCCTCAACTGTTGTGCTGGGCACACTAGGAGATCTGAACCAAGTGCTCTGCCAGGGATCAGAAGGGTCCACCTTTCCTGCCTCTCTGAGGAGAGACTTGTCACGAGAACTTTCTCTGAGTCTCACTCAGGACAGTGGAAAACACGGCAGGCCTGAGGGGTGGAAGATAGAGTGTGTGTTAATGACTGGCAGTGGGTGGAATGAGAGGCCGGGCTCTGATTGGCGAGTTAAACACAGACCCGGGCAGGAGGCCAAACAAGACTGAGGTTGGCTTCAGTCCCACGTTTCTGCTCCATCTATCTTGGATCTCTCAAGTTGAACCCAGAGTAGCATCCATCTTTGTCTCCCATTCCTTACTTCACTCTCTTCACTTTTGTCTCTTGTCCCTTCCAGAAAACCTTCTCTTTTTGCTGCCAAGCTGACTCTGGTGAAGCAGGAAAGCCAATGCCTTGAAATGGCTTCCATATTTTATCTTGCTTTCAATGTACTTACTCTTGGTTCCGTGTTCAAACAATCACGTCCTCTACACAGTCACATGAGTAGGTCTCTAGAGGACAGAGAATCTGTTTGTGTGATTTGGCCGGAAGGTACATCACTCACCACATTTACTTATTAAAAGACATTTGATTATAACTAACCATGTTGAAAGGAAATTTCTAGACAAGAGTCTCATCTGTTGAGTAGGATACATTCAG